CTTTCCCTAGATCTAACTTTGCTGTAATGCAAACCCCAGTATTATGGGCTGGTGTTTAGAGACTGCTGTCTAAGAAATATAAAGAATATTTGTTCCAAATGTATTACTGCTAACTGTATCACTTCCAAACTTGACTCATGAAGACGTATTCACCTCATGCACCTCACTTCATAAAGTCAAGAGTTAGACCAAAGATAAATTTGACTTCTTCTTTTGTTCTTACTCAGAACCAGCAAAGAATACATGATATTATTGTTACTTCCCACAAGAACAAAAAAGTGAAAGCAGATGATTGAACAACAAGGTCTCAAGTGAAAGACCTAATGTTTAGAGCACAGATTCAATGACCTGACAAATTTGTGCAGTCATATCAGGTGACACTGCTAGGTATAATCTGAAATACAGTATAGTCTAAATTTTCAACACCAATTCTGATGGCAGAGCTTTTATTGCCTTTCTTTCAGAGAGACAATGTAGGTGCTAATTCTTTTTTTAAGACAAAGCTTCCTACAGGACCTTCAAGTTGGCCAACTAAAAGACTGCACATTCTGAATTAACATTCACATTTGATAATTTTTCCCAGATTTAGCAGATGGAAATGAGAACAGCTCTTTGTAAACCACAATTAATCTTATTTATTCAGTTTTAGACAGACACGCAAAAATCACTACACCTACCAGTCACTACACCTACCAGTGTCTTACAGGCATTTTGAATAATTGAAAATTCAACATAAGCAAGGCCCATAAATAGCTTAAGTGTACTATATAACAAAACAAACATCCAAACAACAATGGAAACTGAGCAACTTGGTAAAAAATTAAAGAATATCCAAATTCAAAAGGGAACAGATTTTTTTTTCCAGTGCCAGAAGTGTACCACATGAAGAATACAGCAGTTAATCTATTTGAGACATGGCAGAAGGAGAAAAGCATATGAAAAAGCCCCAATAATTTGAAGAACGACATATTTCTAAGCCTTATTCTCATACTCTCATACTCGCTTCAATGTTCTGTTCAAATGTCCTGTTGGATCCTATCTCTGCTGCTGTAATAGTAACAACTTTTTAGGCAGATACACAATCAGTAACTGGTGTACAAGCCAATACCAATACTTTAAGGGATCTCCCAAAACCCCACAGACAGTATAGTTCAAGGAACTCAAGATGAATATTATGATACTGTCATAATTCACTGCACAAATAGATACTGCACTACCATCTTCTTCTGAACATTTTTCATGCATACCCCTACATACTCTTACTTGTAGTGACAAAGACATTGGAATCTTCATCTGACAGTCTTGTTTAATTATAGGCTTAAAAACCAGTCAGTGCACAAAGCCTGGGTGTACTTTTTTTTAACAACTGGTTACATTCATGCTTTCAGTGATTCTGATCTGTGTTTTTAAATTTCCCAAGCATCTGGCCAATTCTAAATCTTTTGAATTCAGACTATTTTTTCATTAATTTATCACTATAATGGTAATAAAAAATTTTTGCACATAAAACTGAAAAGTTATTGTGCTAATGCATTTCAGTTGTTTGCATTAGAGCAGGCTAAACGAGTGGACAACATTTACCACCAAACTTATTTTATCATAAATGCAATCTATTACAACAAAAATGGAAATATAATACTCCTTGTAACATTTTACTTGAGCTTTTTTTTCTGCCTGATAGGAATTCTAATTATGAGCTTCACTGTGCCAAGGACAGACCAGTCTTTTCCAGACACTTACCCTCTGACAGCATGAATAAGTCTCAGTGATGGATAGGCGGTTCGGACTTTCAATTTATTCTTAAGGATTAATGCATTAACCCAATCCACATGCTTCTCTCCACCTTTGACCATGAAAGCAGGGATCCAAAGGACACTGTCATTCAGCATGGATAGCCTATGCACAAATTTTTCTCTGTCACTCTCATTCCGAAAGCCTCCAAATGCTCTTTGTACAACTGATGGGTTCATGGTAATAAAATCAGACTTAGTTCCCACATCGGCAGCAAACTCCACCACAGGAGCTAGATTGCACCTGAAGAGGAAGAAATTAATGGAAAAATGAAAATAAATATGAAACATTAACTCAGAAAATGTGTGCATGAAGGGAAAGCTGAAAATGAACATGCAAGCCCATTTTAATTTAACCTGAGAAAAAAATACCAGTGATAATATGTATGATAACATGTACCATTTTACCCAACTCAGATACTCATTAGATAAATTTTTAAAAGACATTAAATGTACATAATGCTGTGAGAAGAAAAAGATCTTTGTACTTTTGAAAAGCACGTTATGATGCTTTAAAATGCACTGACAGCTAGAGTAGCACTTATGAATAAGAGTATGCTTTCTAACGCTTATTACCTTTCATTAGTGTTCATTTGTCAGCATGTTACCAACAGCTCACACTCTTAAAGGAAGCCATGCCAGCCAATTAAGATATAATTTATACAGGTTAGTAATTGCATTTTTTTTACAATATACTATTTAAATATTATTTAAAAATTTAATTCACCCCATGTTAAATGAGTTTTTGGTATTTTGTTTTTTGGCAATATCACTGCATCTAATCAGATGCTTTGAAATTTAGCATTTTTCTTTAATTTAGAAATGAATTTTTTGGAAAGAAGTATTCATCTTTCCATTTTTCCTTGATGTCTCATTTTCAAGCCTTGTTTAATTTTGCAGTAACTTTCTGCTTTTTTCTAGACTTGAGAAAAAGCTCTCATCAGGCCTTTGTTCAGCAGCTTTTTTACCTCAGTTATAATATAATACATATATATGTAATAACACAGAACTCCATGGGCAGCACTAGATGCAGGTGACAAAATGCAATTTAGAAATTCAGTGTGACTTCAATGAGCAGTAGGATCCCACTGAAACAAATCACTTCCACAACATCCCCAGTGACTCACCCTGTAGCTGCTATGCCCCAAATAAGTATCCTGACAACAATATTTTCACAATTTAACAAACTGCTCTGTCGAGGTGAAGGCTGCTAAGCAGCAATGTCGGAACTAGGTCCTTCAAAACATTTGCATGTTATTATATTCCTAACATATATAGATTCTATTAGTTCTGCAACTCTTTTCTGGTACAGTAAACTTTCCACTTACGCTTATCCTCTAGCATCTTCTAATGGCCAGATCTCCAATATCGTATAAAAACAACTGAAGTCAGCAGGGCAATATTGATTAACACCAGTTGATGACCTAATTCTGACTGATAATACTAATTCCTCAGAACATTATTTTCATTTTATCATAATCTTCAACTTAAGATGTGGTCCTATCTTCTTCACAAAGAAATGTTCTGAAGACTGTAAAGCCTGTATATTCTTAGGAGATAAAGCTGTCCAAGTTTCTGATGACATGTGGGCAGATGTAAGCTTTCCAAGAAAAATTTGCATTCTTCATATCTTTATACATCTGTTCCACAAACCATGTATTTACAGGCCACTAAGAGTAGTATCTTTCAGAAAATGGTAGTTAGGGCACAAGAAGAACTCCCACTGATTTCAATACCGGCTTTGAAAATTATTTCTAAACACCCTAATGCATGAACTTATAACCTGAAATTGTCAAAAGTTTGGAGCTGCATAAAATCTAAAAATAGAAAAAAAATCAAACCAAGGACTTCAAATCAACCAATCAAATTCATTGAATTTCTGCTGCTCTTGAAAATACCCCTGCTAAGTGCAGACTGCACAACATAATGAGGAACCTTGTACAGCAGAGGTTTTTTTTCAATAGTCACATATATATATACACACAATCTATTACTTACAAACATAAGACAGAACTTGACATTGCAAATCCTGCTCTCTCTGTGTCCCACTTTGAAAAGTACCTATGTACCAGCACTACGTTGTTTAAAAAGCTGTACACCATATGCAAGGTGTGCACACATAACATAGGCCTTATGGCTCTAATATGACTCCATGTCTTCTGACAGCTCCAATCTGCCAACAGCATCAGTGCCAAAATCTTAAAAGTGTATGCTCTTTGAAACCAGCATATGAATGTAATTTCACACATATCCTGAAAAAAAACCACCACAGGCATACCAAATACAAGGAATACCTACCTTGCATGTCATTACTGCTTTATCAGTAGTATACTTAATATAAAATACTGTATTTTAGAAAAGTATACATGTAAGCAGTGTAAATTCTTGAAATATTTCATATCCAGATTTTTCAGTTATAACTTCAGAAAGTAATGAGCAGTCCAAAGGTACTCAGTAACAATGGGGTTGTCAGTGAATAGTTACTTAGAATATTAGTCATATTTTTCAAGCTTTGTTGTCTCAAATTAGACACCTGGTTATAATATTAGCGGCAGGTAAGGCATTTTGCTTTCGAAATGCTGAGAACCCCTTACCCTTCAATCTTTTAAAAATTCAGTTATATAAATATGGATTAGTATCAGTGCTAAAGTTTGAAATAATGTGATAAGTACGTCTGCACTTTGAAAGGCTCCGTTTTCAAAGAAGTAACTAGATGCTGTTGGCAATAGACTGCTGAGATTGTTATTTTAGTAGAACACAAAAGTAAGACTAGCTCTACACAAATTTGTAGCTCTGTTAAAGAAATAAACATTACTAAATCAGTTGTATTTGACCAAGTTACAAAACTGTTACCTTCATTAAGTCACTTCTTGTTTTCTTAGATGTTACTTCTTTCAAAGAATTATTCTAGTGCTCATTAAGTTAGTATTGTCAATACTGAATATTTACTCTATATTTATCCACAAAGTTGGAAAATATAAAACACCTGCTAAAACCCATCAATTAAAATCATCACATACTTTAGTAAGGAGTAACTGGAACAGTTATGTCAGAAGTGTTTCCAATACAAGAGTTTATGTGCTAGTGATGAACTTTAACACTTACCCCAAACTGCTAATACCAGATAATTTGTATTTCCAGATAAGTTCAAGAAAACTTTATAGAAAAGTATCAACCATAGAATCAAAGAATCACAGAATAGTTTGGGTTAGAAGGGACCCTTAAGGATCATCTAGTCCAACCCCCTTGCAATAAGCAGGGACATCTTCAACTAGACTATGGTGCACAGAGCCCTGTCCAACCTGACCTTGAATGTTGGCAGGGATAGGGAATCTTACCACCTCTCTGAGCAACTTGTTCCAGTATTTTACTACCTTCATTGTAAAACATTTATTCCTTACATCTGGTCTAAATCTACCCTCTTTCAGTTTAAAACGATTACCCCTTGTCCTCTCACAACAGGCCCTGATAAAAAGTTTGTCTCCTTTTTTCTTATATGTTTCATGACTAATAAAGCTAGCTATCATGTATTTGCATATAGACCTGAGTATATATAAATAGCTTCTGTTACCTGTTGCAGAGATTTTATCTTAACCTCTATTGCATCTTTATGCTATGCCACAGTTCCATACAGTTGTTGGAATTTTTAAGTTTATTTTGTTGACCATACACATATATATCAAATTACATAAAGGTTTGTAAACCTCCTTCTCCTGAGCCCAAATTATTGGGTGTTTCCAGAGAAAATCACGCAATGCGGCTTGCCCCAGCAAAAATAATTCTGCAAAATAATGGTTTTAATGAGTTACTTTGTGGTTGTTGTTGTTTTTCACAAAAATTCACTGTAAGCTTTAAAACTAACAAACTTATGGCTCTTTTTTTCCATATAGTTTTGTTTAATCTGAAATTCTATCTCCTTGTTTTTTCCCCTTGTATTAAACTAGCAAATAATTAGAGTCATTAGTTGCTCCTTCTTCTAAGCACTATCTACGGTAGAAGTGTTCAGAAAGTGGTCTAATGAGACAAAGATTGGTACATTTCGAAGAGGGGGTCAGGAAAAAACCTAAGTAAGTGGGACACGTTCATAATGTGTCTGATTGGTAGTATCACAGGCAATGATATGTAAGGTATGTCAAATTAATCCTGCAGTCCCTGTTCTTCACATGACATCAGCCCAGACTATATGCAAAACCTCAGCACAGGCATTTCAATAGAGTAGTCAGTCTAAACTTACTATCTACACATCAATTATAGAATTTGGGTAATAGTAACTTTACAGGACCACCTAATTTACATAGGATTCACGTATAATAATGACACTGAAAGGCAAATATATATACAGAGAAAATATTAATAATAATGCAGAGGTTCCCACATACAAGCTTTCGGTGTGATACCAGATTTTCAACAGGAACATGTACTAAAGAGAGATCTGGGGTAAAAGGGAAAAGCTACTTCATGTCTGAAATATCACATTGTATTTGGGTATCTGTAGAATAACTGAGATCCTAAGATGCACAGACCAAAAAGTCTCTGTGACTGAAAACTTGCTTCCTCCATAACTGTCTGTTATTATTAGTTACAGTGGGATATATTAAAAAAAAGTGCAGAGAAAAAAGAACCAAACTGTCAATGTCTGGAGTTCCACGCCACAAGAAAAGACTGAAGAATGGAGTAAGTGCTGCTATACCACATTTACATCAAAGTAATCAACCCTGGGTTTGCTGTGACACCTTAATGGCCCAAACACATCCATAGCATACTTAATCTCTTAGAGAGCAGAGCTTAACAAAGAAAATAATGAAACAGTATTCACAAAAATACACTCAAATGAGAAGTCAGTTATTCCCCTGAGATGCAGTTGAACTTGCTTGGTCACTAATAATATACAGCCTATGTATATGCATCCAAATGTCCAATATGTAATATTCATAGGCCGTATATCAATATTCTTTTTGAAGGTAATTTTAAATAAAAGCCATAAAAAATTGCTGGAGGAAAAGTGATTACTATTTCCATCTTTTTTCACATTGAGAACTAAAAGAATATTCTTCATGCAGTAATAATGCAAGAATTGGCCATGAATCTGTACACTTGTTTATCCTTTAACAATCTGTGCACTTGAGGTTTGCAACATTTAGAAACCACTCTGAAGCCCAAGCTGCACAGACGTGCTGTGAAAATGTGCTTTGTTTCATTAGTATCTTCTCCTCATAGAGCAAAGCCAAAAATGTCCATCACACA